CCCCCCCCCCCCCCCCCCCCCCCCCCGCAGGGCTCTCTTATCTCTTCTGCTTGATGGTAAAAGAGAGCTGGGAAGAGCAGCTGACATTAGCTCTGAAGCAACCCACGCTTCTCTCTGGGTGGTCTGGTAGCAAAAGAGGAAGCCAGCTCAGGGGCAGAAATATCCTTTTGCAGGCAAGAAAGCCTGCAGAAGTGGCAGCAAATGAGAAGACCAGCACCAACACAGCGCTTCCATTCCTGGAGGACTAACTCTGCCCAAACTCTTGGGTCTACATTCTGTTGTTCTGCATTAACTAAACTAACATAGCAGAGGGACGGAGGCTCTTTTTCTACTCAGACATTTGTATCCACTCATAATAACCACTATTATCATTACAATGAGTAAATACTAATAATCAAAAGAAATATCTTGGGATACTTAGAATAGACAGGGCTACCTATTTCCAGAACCCTAGAAAAAACCTGAAGTTGTTGAGGTATGTATCTTTATTAATATTAGCAAAATTCCAGATGAGTATTGCAATTCACCAGAAAATATATTGAGCTATTTCAACTCAATAGTAGGAATTTTAGCAGCCTCCTAAAATACAGTGTACTTGAAAAGCTTTATTAAATTTTACTAGAACAGAAGCAAGAAGCTGGCATGCATTTCTATAGGAGGTAGGTATTACTGGCCTGAATAACTCTAAGTAGACAGCTTCTATATGCAATAAGTCTGTTGACTTGAGGTATGCCTCAGATCATCACTCTCTCTCCCTCCCAGATAGAAGCAACTGTGCATGTAATACTTCCTTCACAATATCTAGGATCCTTTAGGGATAAAGAAGAAGCATAAGGCATGCCCAAAAACTATTTTTAGAATCATGCAAAAGCTATGCAGACCACACATGAAGTTACATGATAAGCACTGTAAATCTCTGGGATAACTCATTCTGTGGGTATTAAACTAATAGAAAATTGAAAAATAAATTCCTGAACAGCTTCTGTATCATTATCTAAGATTTTCACTGCTTGGGAATTTATGTTCTGATGGTTTAGTTTCATGCTCTTTCACAGTGCTTCAGACTATTACATGGGATGTCTAGATGATTTTCAGGAAACCATCTGACTGGATCTATGACTGCTGTACTTAACATTTATCTCAGCATGTTCTGGATCATCTCTGAAGCAGTAACAATAGAATTCTAATTCTGCTGAGGTAATTTAGGACCTAAATATCTCAATTTCTATTATCTGCCAAAATGCTTACAGAGCTCTATTAAGATTTTTTTAAAGAGTGAGAAGGGAAATGTAAGGGATGCAGTAACCAGTACCATTCTGTAAAGGAGTCTTTTCTTATTTGAAAGTAGTGTTAACAAAGTGCCTTTTTAGTACATTTCACCACCTTACAAAATCAATATCATTAAATAGAGTGTAGACATTTTCTTCTATCTTGAAATGCTGCTTGAGCTTTCATGTTCACCTGGGCTTTTTTTTTTTTTTTTTAAACCCAAGTACCCCCAAGTGGTGTAACGAGAAACTACAGAACATTATAATAAAAACATTTTGGCTTGTTAAATATTGTTGTAATCACAAGAAAGAGGCTAATGAAACAAAAGAAAAAGAATATGCGCACTGATACTCAGCCTCTGTCCTGAGGATGTTAAGGGACGCGTTCAGTCTCATCCCTAACAAAAGACAGGCATGAAATGCTGCAGGCAGTGAATGCTTCTTGAAAATAAAGTCACTGCAAATTAGATTTCTTAAATAAAATTCTAAAGAAAAAAATAGAGATACTTACTTAAAGGCAAAACATATATTGCTCATCTTGGGGGTTTGGCAGCTTGAGCTACAGTGAAAAATACCAAAACTGAAGATACACTTTTCAGTGTTCTTCTGAAATCTGCTGTTATTGAACTCATTCTTAGGGCCTCCAGAGTCCTATAAGCTCAGGTAGCTCCTACCTCTCATTTGTATGATAAATGATGCTAATATAAAAAGGAAACGCAAAATATTTTCTTCATTTTTTTAATCAAAGTTTTGCATTAAATGACATTTCTGTAGCAAACTGTAGCTAAGATTTGGAGAGATGCAAGAATTGTATAAGCTGACACAGGAAAAACTAGAAAAAGCTAGAAGATTACTGGCCTCTAATCCTAATTCAAAGAGCTGAGAACGGTAAATTGATACAGAAAGAAAATAAGCAAGAGAATCATGTATTGGCTGCACATTTATTAAGGCATTATTGCCAAGAATGCATTACTATAAATGGCAAAACTGAGGCACACAAAACTGAACTGATGAGACCTGTCCAAATTCAGGCAGGCACAAAATCAAAATTTGTTGTCAATTTAAAAAAACTGCTATCACATAGGGATATATCAAAAGGAATACATTTACTGGAAGACTACCTTTAATTATTATGTCTCATGCTTCAATTATACTACTTAATTGTAAAAAACTGTTAGTTCAGCAGAGTTTCTTTCGAGATCCTGTCAACAGTCTGAGTCCTTATACTGGCACAGAACTGATCCTTGAAAGCATCCAATAAGGTGCTAAAACAAACTTATCTAGAGCAAATAAGAAAATGACTCAAATGAAGAGGAAAGTCCATTAAAAGACATTCAGAAATTCTGACATTTTCATGCTCACTTTTAAAGTTTGAATACTTTAACAGGCCTGTATAATTGGACAGAGCATTATAGTGCAGTGGTTGTACTCAATTAGATGAGGGATTCTCTTTCTCCACATTTTTAAGCAAAAATGTCACGATCATGAAGTTAAATGAACACAGATTGGAAAGCATACATCCAGCATCTTAGTTAGCGTTCAGAACAAAACTCAAAGAGCACAGTTTAATTATACATTTTAAACACAGCTATAAATTATACAATTAAAGTACACATACAGTATATATTACATATTATATGTTACAATTATATCTTTACATAATTATAAATTATAGTCTACAATCATAAACCTGTAAGTCTTCAATAAAATAAAGAATAGCAAATTTTTAAAAACCAGCATATACCTTTGCCCTGCTTCTTGCCAGGATAGTGATGAAAAGTACCTCTGTTCTGAGTCAGCACAAGGGTCCCTTTCACAACATACACGTTACGTTATGAACTCGACCAAGGTACGACAATGGGGAATGGGTAACTCAGATATATTTTTACTGTTTTAATTACTTATTACATAGCTTTGGAGAGGTACGTCACTAATGCTCATAGATTTTCTACCTACCTCCATTTTGTCCTGCATAGTAAATTAAAAGCATTTAGATAGAGGCACCCTCAGACAGACTGATCTGATAAAATATGTTAAAGAAAACCAGATTCAGTTGGAACGTGAGTCAGCATAAAGCCTGGTCCTGTTTAACACCATCACTAAAGTTAAACAATGTATTTGTTACGCCTGCAGGATAACATCAAACTGAGAAACAAAACAAATTAATACAAAGAAAACATCTACAATGTAAAAAATACGGCCCAAACATTTTTAATTTAAAATATTTGAAGTGCTTACTTACAATTCTTCTCCTTGTTTTGCTTTCTTGTCAAAAACCAGATAAACGCTTCCAAAGCTTCCATTGCCGAGTTTCCTCTGAATTGCATATCTTCTTGCATACGTAGCATCTGAGCAAGCAGAATTAGATCTGGCAACAGTGACATGCTTAGCAGTTTCTTGAAATTTCAGCATTGTTCTGTGCAACAGAAACTATGCAAGTTTCTCCAGAACATAGCTTTCAAATCCTCTTACTCTTCCAAGGACGTTCACAGGAAACACATGAAACAGAAAAAAATGGAGTTGACTGAATGTACTACTCTTACTAAAACGCTCATCTAATCCTGCTACAGCACTTAAAAGGGTTGACTTACAGTAAAACACAAATTGAAGTGGAAACATTAGCTATTAAATTGTGGGCAGTAGACTTGAAAGAGAAAATCCAGATAATGAAGATGTGGTATAGGCAATCCTCCTCTAAATCAGTACTAAATTAATTCACTGAAAGAACAGGATGGGGGATATGAAAGACAGGCATTTATACATTCATTTATTTAAAAGTTTGGGTGTTTTTTGCAAGAATGGGGACAACTATACCTGTATTTCACCTCACAGTTGCGCCACACACAGCACTTTTCTTTGCATTCTGTCTTTATACCACTACAGTATCTGACACTAAAAATATCCGCGTTTCAGCAGTAGGTCAAGTGATTCCTATGTTTATTGAAGCATAATCTCCATCCATACTTTGAGTTCATTTCCATCAATATCTACAAAGCTGTTCTCTCCTGCTCTTTCACTTGCCTCCCCAATTTCACCAACGGTTTTTCCTCACATCTGTATGCCAGTGCTGGTCTCATCGCTTCTGTGTGATTCACCACTAGCATCTGCTGAAAATTAGAGCCTCCTGACTACTAACAAGCCTACAAGGCTTTCAAAAACCCTACTTCTTCCACCCTCCTTGCTCCTTTGCTATAATAACTTTTCTTGATCAGTTTTGATTTGCAATTCTTTAACTGAGGTCCTAATTCTTCAAACACAGGGAGCACAAAGGCAAACCTCTAGTGCTTCCACAGCTTTCAGTAATCGAATACAGCTTTAAAATGAGTTTGTTTCCTTCATCTTTCTCATTACAAAGGGCAAAGGGTAGGTGTTTCATTGCACATGAAAAACGGAATTGCTTTCATTACCTTGCCTTCTCATGATGCTGTGTGCATTCTTTGTGCTTCAGGACCCTTTGGAACAAATAAAGGTATTATAAGATCCTATGATCAGTGCACCTATTATTACTATAGGTATTGCCTGTGGCAGTGCAAGGTTACCACACTGCATTTGCGCAGCATGGCATATTAATGCCAATGCAAGCACATAAAAATGACTTTTTATTGCTTTGAAAGAGGAAAACGAAAAATGCTTGATTTTAAAATCTGCATTACTGCTGGCTATAAGTCATAGTCTTCACTTCCTAACAATTACAGAGCCCTAATGAAGATTATGATTCTGTATTTTATAACCACAACACTGTGTACATGAACCTATCTTAACACCCATCTGCTGAGCTGCTGGCACCGTGCCAATGGGCTTGACTTGGCAGTGCCACTGTATTATGAAGCATAGCCAAATTTTAATTACTACAAGCCATCTTAACAATAATACAAATTATGTACATTTCTTAAACAAAGACAGACTCATGAGATTTTGTTTCTGTACTCTTCTTGAGAGAGAAAAATTTGAAATGTAAATGGTAAGCAAAAAATGTGAGCTAGAAAATGGCTTACTGCTTCTGTAACTCTCATTCTGTCTTAGAAAGCATAAACGGACCACGCTGAGGTTGACCGGAAAAAAAAATCCATAAAATGTTACACTGCCCATTGTAGAAAGTTTATATATTTTTCAATTATTGTTCTCCAAGGAAGTCTATGTTTTATGGATGCCTGTGTATGCCTTCATAAATTCCAGATAGACTAGTTTTAAAATACATAACTTTTTGAAATATTTACACTTAACAAAAACTGCTGAGCTGTCTCTGTTACTTTTTTCCAGGTAAGAGTTGCTATCACTAGTTACCTTCTGATTTAGGTATTTACCTGACCCCTACAAGAGGGCCACAATCTGTTACACTATACTATCACACTTTAGAGTCCCCTACTGAGACTCATTGTTGTGCTTGATTTCCAGCTCTGTCTCTCACCCTCCTCTTTCTATGCTTCAGTTTCTCCCTATCTACAACAAGGGTAACAATATCATTTTGTAAACTGCTTTGGCATCTACTGCTGAGTAGCATTATAGGCAGGAGCCAGTGACTGCAGCAGCATCACAGGCAAGTTTTAATGGTATGGACAAGGGCTGGAGTGCTGAGCCATTATATTTTGAAAGAAATATCCCATGACAGTCAATAGACCCTAGAGTCTGATTCAGTTGCAGAAGTAGTTGATTTTTCAAGAAGTATAATAACTAGTAGCCTCTCCCACCTCATTCTAGCCTTTCAGCCCAACCTTCCTTGACATTGTTGTACCAATCTCCTCCTTTAACTGAATAACCATTTCCCATGCAGCAGTACATCAGTTGCTTCATTAAAGTTCAGGATGACTACAGATAACTCAAATACAAACAAACAAACAAAAAACCCAAACTGTTAAGACCCCCCTCTTCAAAAACTCTTGTCTGCTCAGCCTGACAATGCTTCGGTAATCCCACAGTACATTTTCTTCATTTTCCTTTTTTCCAGTCAAATCCCACTCTGCAGCCTTGCACACTGCTGAGGCCAGAGTAATAGAATTATATTGCTTTCACTTTTTTTTCCCCCCCTTCTTCCCTGGCTACAGTTAGGTCACCCTCCTCCTTACTATTGCAAGCTAAAGGAAAGTTATTGTTTAGGTTCTCACGGTTCCAACTACACATGTACAGCACACCTCCACTTCTTCCCTTGATGTCTCTTGCATTCACATCAGAAGGGAAGATACTGTTTTTAATTTCCTTTAGGTAACTTTCAGCTTTCTTCCACAATAATTAATGTGTCCCTACGCTTCCTTACTTCCAAGATGAACCTTTCTTTGCTGATCAAAGCCTTTTTCCAGTTCTTTCAGATTTTCTTTTTACTCCTTAAGAATCCCTCTGGTACATCAATTACCGTTCATCCCCCACTTGCAGTAACAATTCCAGAGTTTTTACATTTAAACTCCTCCACCTATGCTTTCTTGAATCCTTCCCCCCCACCACCAATGACTTCACTGGCCTGCTCATTTAAACATCTCAAAATATTTAACATTCCTCCTCTTTTTGAAATAAAAACTAATAGGGGTAATCCTCCTAGCTTCCCTCCCTCTCCATAAAGTTTAAACAAAATCAACTCTTGAACACTAACTCCAAGGTTATTTTCTATAACGTATTCATAGGTCCAACCAAGTCTAAAGTAGCATTGTCTCAGCTAGCTCAGATTTTGCCTGCTACCAGAGCAAGAGTAAGACTTTATTATTGACACGCGCAGCAAAGGAGCTCGCAGGTGGTGGCAAAACAAGGTCAGATATACTCAACTGCCCTTATCCTTCTCCTTCCCAAAGGACCTAATTAGTATCACGGACCCATTCAGGGAATCAAGACCTCCTCAGATACTGTTACCTTCTTATTAACGGACCCTACAAGACTCAAAATTCACTCTCTGAAAGCCTGGAGGCGGGCGGGCAGGCGGGCAGGCACACACACACACGCATACGAGGTGGGTTTGCCCCACAGCACCGGCCCGGGGTCTCCCCAGGGTCCCCCCGCACCGGACCCCGCTGGGGCTGCCGTCG